TCAATGTGTAATTCCGGCAGATACATGCACATCATTTTCGTACTTAACAGGTATGTCTTTTATTATACTCGTATTACATTTCTGCACATCATTTTCGTACTTAACAGGTATGTCTTTAATTATACTTGTATTACATTTCTTTTATATATTGTTTATAAGCTGTGATGAAATGACTTTGATATCAATATATGTATAACTTTCATGATGCAGGGGGATGTCATCAAAACTTTCTTAGTCAGGATATCGGCTAATAGTGGACGAATTTTTTACTAGGAATATATGAGTTGTTTTCCTTGATTTGTTGGAATTGGAGATACGATTCTCTTGTGGTACATTATTCTCTTGTACATACATTAGTACAATGTTAAAATTGGTGGATTATGTAGTAAGTTTTTGTTATATTCATGGTTTAGTTGTTTTCTTGTTGGTTTTTGCTTCTTGGTTTTTGGGTTCTTGTTTACTAGAACATGGGGGGTTGTGATAGGCTTGGCGAGCCAACGTAAAACCTAGCCGTTCTATGAAGATGAAACACATGAGAAATTCGTTGGGGCGTAACCCTCTTAGCGACGCGCCATACCGGAACCCGGGTATGGTGTCAAATGGGCAAGGGCCGGGTCGTCCCCCCCTTGGGGACGCGCCATGTCGTGGTTTGGGCATGGTGTTAAATGAGCAAGGACCGGGTCGTCATTTCCTTAGTGGCGCGCTACATCGGCGCCCGGGTGTAGTGGAAAATGAGCAAGGGTCTTCGCATCTCTCTCGACGGGTGCGAAGGGCAAGGAAGCTAGTCGAACTAACTAGGGTCCGTATAGGTAGCTGGAACGTAGGGTCCCTAACGGGTAAACTACGTGAGCTAGTCGATGCAGCTACTAGGAGGCGTGTAAATATCCTATGCGTCCAGGAGACAAGATGGAAGGGTCAGAAGGCGAAGGAGGTGGAGGATACTGGCTTCAAGCTTTGGTTCACTGGGGCTTCATCGAGTAGGAATGGTGTAGGCATCTTGATCGATAGGAGCCTTAAGGATGGAGTTGTCGATGTTATAAGGCAAGGCGACCGGATTATCCTAGTCCGATTGGTAGTTGGAGATTTGACCATGAATGTGATCAGTGCCTATGCCCCTCAGGTAGGTCTTAGTGAGAGCACAAAGAGGCAATTCTGGGAGGACTTGGATGCCTTGGTTAGTACGGTGCCTGCCAGCGAGAAGCTCTTTGTAGGAGGGGACCTAAACGGCCATGTGGGTGCGACTAAGGTAGGTTTCGAGCGAGTGCACGGAGGGTTTGGACTTGGTAGTAGGGACGAAGAGGGGGAGGGTGTGTTGGACTTTGCGATGGCCTACGACTTGTTGATAGCGAACACCCTCTTTAGGAAGAGGGAATCTCACCTGGTGACCTTCCATAGTGGAGGACACTCGAGTCAGATCGACTTTATACTTGCAAGGAGGGAGGATAGAAGCGCTTGCGTAGATTGTAAGGTGATACCTGGGGAGTGTGTTGTCCCCCAGCATAAGCTGGTGGTGGCGGATTTTCGATTCCGAACACGTGTCCACCGGAACAAATGTGCAAAGTCCGTGAGAACGAAGTGGTGGAAGCTTAAAGGGGAAGCGGCACAGACGTTTAGGGATAGGATGCTAGATGAGGGGCCTTGGGAAGAAGGAGAAGATGCAGATGACATGTGGCTAAAGATGGCAACATGTGTACGAAAGGTGGCTGCAGAAGTTCTTGGTGTGAGTAGGGGAGGCAAGAAGGAAACGAAGGACTCTTGGTGGTGGAATGACGAGGTGCAAAGGGCTATTCAAGAGAAGAAGGAGTGTTTCAAGCGCCTCCACCTTGACAAGAGTGCAACCAACACTGAGAATTATAAAATAGCGAGAAGGGCTGCAAAGCGTGCCGTGAGTGTAGCGAAGGGTCAGGCCTATGATGACCTTTATCAGCGCCTAGGCACGAAGGAGGGGGAGAAGGGCATTTATAGGATGGCTAAGATTCGGGAGAGGAAGACAAGGGACGTCATCCAAATCAAATGCATTAAGGATGGGTCGGATCGGCCACTGGTGAAGGATGGGGAGATCAAGGACAGATGGAGAGAGTACTTCGACAAATTGTTTAATGGGGAGAGTGAGGGTCCTACCCTGCAATTAGATGACTCACTTGAGGATACCAATAGACGCGTGGTGAGAAGATTTCGGGAGGCAGAGATTGGAGAGGCTATGAAGAGGATGAAGGGAGGTAGAGCAATGGGCCCTGATGGTATCCCCATTGAGGTGTGGAGATGCTTGGGCGCCAGAGCGTTAACATGGCTAACTAAACCTTTTAACCTCATTTTTCGGTCAAACAAGATGCCTGATGAATGGAGGAGAAGTACTTTAGCACCGATCTTCAAGAACAAGGGAGATATTCAAAGCTGTGGTAACTACCGTGGGATTAAGTTGATGAGTCATACGATGAAGCTCTGGGAGAGGGTTATCGAGCATCGCCTACGACGAGTGACGACTGTGACCCAAAACCAATTTGGGTTCATGCCTGGAAGGTCGACCATGGAGGCGATTTTCCTAATTCGACAGCTGACGGAGAGGTATAGGGACCAAAAGAAGGACTTGCACATGGTCTTTATCGACCTTGAGAAGGCTTATGACAGAGTACCGAGAAATGTCATGTGGTGGGCCTTAGAAAAGCATAAAGTCCCATCTAAGTACATTACCCTCATCAAGGATATGTACAAGGATGCGATGACGTGTGTCCGAACATGTGGGGGCGACACCAGCGACTTCCCAATTAAAATAGGACTACACCAGGGGTCAGCATTGAGCCCTTATCTATTTGCCTTGGTGATGGATGAGGTCACAAGGGACATACAAGGTGATATCCCTTGGTGTATGCTCTTTGCTGATGATGTGGTGCTAGTTGACGACAGTAGAGCAGGGGTAAATAGGAAGTTGGAGCTGTGGAAGGATGCATTAGAGTCGAAAGGCTTCAGACTTAGTAGGACGAAGACCGAGTACATGACGTGCGCTTTCAGCATGGCTTCACATGATGATGATGACGTTACCCTTGACGGGCAAGTGGTGGCCAAGAAGGAGACTTTCCGGTATTTGGGATCGATGCTACAAAAGGATGGCGGCATTGATGCTGATGTTAGGCATAGAATTGCAGCCGGTTGGTTGAAATGGCGTCAGGCATCGGGCGTTCTCTGTGATAAGAGGGTGCCACAAAGGCTAAAAGGTAAGTTCTATAGAACGGCGATTCGTCCGGCGATGCTATACGGTGCTGAATGTTGGCCTACAAAAAGGCAACATGTCCAACAACTAAGTGTAGCAGAGATGAGTATGTTGCGTTGGTTCTGCGGGCACACAAGAAGGGATAGATTTCGGAATGAGGATATTCGAGATAGGGTCGGGGTGGCTCCAATTGAAGAGAAATTGGTTCAACATCGGCTGAGGTGGTTCGGACATGTCCATCGGAGGCCTCCTGATGCACCGGTGCGTAGGGGAGTTCTACAGCGGGTCGAGGATGTTAAGATAGGTAGAGGTCGGCCTAAACTCACTTGGGAAGAGTCGGTTAAGAGAGACCTTAAAGATTGGAATATATCCAAGGATTTAGCGGTGGATAGGAGCCCTTGGAGGCTCGCTATCAACGTGCCAGAACCGTGACTTTTGCTCCTCTCTCTCTCTCTCTCTCTCTCTCCCGTTTATTTTATTTTATTTTATTATTTTTTTTTTCTATTATTATTATTATTATTATTATTATTATATTTATTTTTCTTTCTTTCGACCTCTTTCTTTTGGTTCGAGTCTTTTTTGTGTTTCCCTTGGATTTCATCTCTAGCCTACCCCGACTTGCTTGGGACCAAAGGCTATGTTGTTGTTGTTGTTGTTGTTGTTTACTAGAACATGGGGCTAATGTGCACAAAAAACATATAAAAAATATAAACATAGATAACACTTGTTTAGAGAAGTGTTATATATTATCATCATCTCAGATAGCACTTATGTTAAAAAATGTTATCTGATCAATATTATAGATAACGCTTAATATAAAAGTGTTATGTGAAAGGTTCTTCACATAACGCTTAATATAAAAAAGTGTTATGTGAAAGGTTCTTCACTAGGGCTGTTATCGAACCGAACCGAACCAAGCTTAAGGTGTTCGAGCTCGAGTTCGATTAATTTTCGAACATGTTCGTGTTCGTTCGATTAGTAAACGAACAAAAAATTTTGTTCGTGTTCGTTCGTTTATTGGTTCGACACGTTCGTGTTCGTTCGTTTATCTAGTCGAACATGTTCATGAACTGTTCGAGTTGTTCGAATTGTTCGACAAGTTCGTGTTCGAGTTGTTCGACATGTTCGTGTTCGTGTTTTTTAATTTTTTTTTTTAATGTCATACAAGTTATTTTATTTATTATTTAATATCTATTCATATTTATATGTTCTATTATATATGTATATACTATATATAATATATAAAATAAAAAAATATTTGTGTTTTATTTAATATTTAATATATATTCATATTTATATATTATATTATACATGTATATACTATATATAATATATAAATTATAAAATATTTTTTTGTTCGCGAACGCTCGATTAGTTCGCGAACATGTTCGTGTTCATTCGATAACTAAACGAGCGTAATTTTATGTTCATCGGTTCGATTGCTAAACAAACGAGCTGTTATCGAACACGAACGAACTCGAACGAGCTTTGTTCGCGAACGTTCGGTTCGAAAAACAGCCCTACATAGCGCTTTATAAGAAAAGGAAAATCTGGAACACATACCGCTCGCCATCGCCGTCACCGGTTAGCTGCCGGAATATGGTCGCCGTCGCCGGTGGAACAAAAGGCACATGGTAATTTTGTAGTTTGGTAAGTAATTTTTGTTAATTGATAAGTTTTAATCTCGGGTAAATGAAACCCTAGATTTAAAAATACCTAAACTGCCGATCCCTCCCCTCACTTTCGTAAGGCGTCGCCTCGTGCTACACAACGCTACATCCGAGGCGACGCCATGGCGTCGCCTTTCATAAGGCCGCCTCGCCTCAAGGGTATGAGGCGTCGAAGCCCCGCCTCGCCTCGCCTCGCCTCGCGCCATGGCGCGCTATTTTAATCACTGGGCTCTACTCTACAAGAATCTACAGATTCACGAGCTCCAATTATATCACCTAAGCTTAGCCAAAATTTTCAATAAAATAATCTATTTGAATAAAACTTTTGCTCAAACTCTGTTTGAATGTAGAGATTTTACAAACCTTAGTCTCACTCAAACTGCATCAGAAGCTCAGCAGCTGTAAGGACCATCAAATGCAAATCATAAACACACACTCATGTTATAAGGAATTATGTTATTATCTAAAGAGGTATGGGGGACAAAGAATCCTTCATGATATATATCAGCAATCACGCACAATGATGTGAGATGAAAAAAATAAAGCTAATCAATAGATGCTTCATATTATATTTGAATTGCATACCTTCCAAAAGGAAAAGGAATACCAAGCAGGGCAGACACAATGGCAGTAAAATCAAGCTGCAAAAATAAGCCCAATTTTGAATAAAACACCTTGAAGAATCCTATACTTAATTGTTATAGATCATTTACTAGTAGAGTAGCATTTAACAAACATGTTGAAAAGTGTTAACATAAATGCTCCTCCCTTGTTGTATTCTTGGTTAGGTTAAAAGGAAATAGATATTAAGTGAAAAAACATCTGTGTACCCAAAATCCTTATTGTTAGTATAAAGAAAAATAAGTCAAAGCCATTTACAGCAATGTGACTTCTGGGATTAGAGAAATAAGAGTGGAGCGAAATCTGTGTCTATTAACCACACAATTATAGAAACTGAAAGATCCTTAAATAGTCTGCATACTTGTCATGTAAGTGACCACAAGAGTTTGAATTTCATTTTTTCCACTTCAAGGGTTCTCGGCACACAATGTAATGAAAGGAATTTGTAGGCAGCTATTTGTTGTGGCTTATAGTGAAATACTTGCCTAGAACAGAATTAATACAACTATGAAAACAGAGAACCATGTATTTCTCGCATAGTAATAGCAATTATCTTTTCACAAAATTTATTTTCCATCTTGTATAGATTGTAATTGCTCAACCTACGGCTCCAGCAACATGAGCTCGAGTTCGGCTAGTTTACACCTCTAATCACAATTTGTTACAAGAAAAAAACTCACCTAAGTCATGAATTTTCTTTACAGTGACAGTCAAATTCAGCTCTACAATCAAACTACAAACAGAAACAGTTGAATTCACAACCCAAAATCAACAATTTCATCTAAATCCCTAATCTGAGACTCACAAAACACAGTACGGGGCGGCATACCTTAAGGCCAGAGAGTAGCTAAACTTTTGGTCGACGGCTTCAGTTGCAGCAGGGCCAACTCACGGCTTGACGCCACTTCGAAGACTCAGCAGGTCGCCTTCGGCTCCACTGCGTGGTGATGGCGACCGGTGGGGCTCCGCCGGCCAGTGACTCGAGCCTCCGACCCGGGGAAGGTAGGGTAGCCAAAGCATGAGCCAGCCAAATTGCCTTGTCAAATTTTCCTTTTTTTTTTTTTTGGCTTTATGGATGGACGAGTGTGATTTGGAATGTTTCGTATTGGGTTTGGAAGGGTTTAAATAGAGGTAGGGTTAGGGCCGTTAGGGTTTTTTGGCGGTACAATGAGCATCTTTCATGATGGATGTGAATTGTAGTTCACGAGTCAATGAAATAGAAGACTCTGCGTGGATAGTTTTTACACATGTTTTTATACACCGACGTTTTTCTTTTGTCGTCCTAAAAAAATGGATACATATCTTTGGTGAATTTAATTCAAAGGTTGAGCCTTCATTTTGAATTTCCTATCACCCATCTACACATTTATCTATATTTTTTCTTTTTGTAAGAACATCTACATATATTCATCAGGTATTTTACCGTATTTTGTTTTAAGAACATCTCCATATTCATCAAGTATTTTACATTCATCGGTATTTTTTTTTTGTATACCATTAAATTTATAATATAATTTTAGAAATGCATCTACACATTCATCTGTATTTTTTCTTTTTGTAAGAACATCTAGATATATTCATCAGGTATTTTACCGTATTTTGTTTTAAGAACATCTCCATCATTGATATTCATCAGGTATTTTACATTCATCGGTATTTTTATTTTGTATACCATTAAATTTATAATATAATTTTAGAAATGCATCAATTTTTTTCATTTATTTTTCTTTACGTAAATTAATTTGCTTTTTTGATAGTGTATACAGAAAATTTCTCGTACAGTTACCTTCTTTCCAACTTAATTATAATTTTTAATTAGAAATAAAAGATAAATAGGAGCAAAAATAGTGACTCAATATGTCTAACAGAGCCTTGAGATGTGGAAAGAGTTCCAAAATTTTTAAACCTCTCTCATGCCACATCATACAAAATAGAAACAAATAATCACCGTTGGAGAAGTCTTTCCTAATACTTAGATTTCTGCAATTGAAGCACCGTTGGAAATGCTCTTATGGTTAATTGCATCAATATTCCTGCTTGAAAGGAAAAAAGAAAAAGAAGAAGAAAAGGAAAATCTGGAACACATACCGCTCGCCATCGCCGTCACTGGTTAGCTGCCGGAATATTGTCGCCGTCGCCGGTGGAACAGAAGGCACATGGTAATTTTGTAGTTTGGTAAGTAATTTTTGTTAATTGATAAGTTTTTTTGTTAATTGATAAGTTATCTGAGAGATCAGTCTTTAGATAACACTGACTCCGATAACGCTTTTAAGCGTTATCTGTAGCAAAAAAAAAGCACTATCTGAAGCCTTTTTTGGCATAGTGGTCATTGTCTGCTCACTGATGGCTTGACTGATCAGGGTCAACGGTATGACCATTGTCGCTCGCCTCACGCCATTTCCGCTGCTGATGACAACAACTTTAGTAATGCTCATGGTGCAAGTCGCTCGCTGGAGTTTTTCCCCAACCACGGTCCACAGTCGCTCTCCAGCTGCAAACCTCGCCGAATTCAAAGATCTAAATGATGTTACTCAGTCGTCGCCCACCATCACGAACACCGCCGCCGTGCTGGACTCCGTGCAGAACCTTCGATGGTCGCCACTGTCCATTGATCGAAGCCAGAACCCTTTTGATCTTCGCTCCTTTGCCGTCAACCATTGCATCTTCTTAGTATTGAGAGAATCTAGAGTTGTTCAGGTCTGTTGGGGTTTTTTTTGTTGATGAAAAGTTGTTTTATGTTGTTAGATTATTGTAATGGTGATTTTTCACTTATGAGAATGTTTTTTCTCGTTGCTTTGCATGTGCTATATTGTTGAGTTATAGTTGCTGATGTAGCACTCAAAATAGCTCGATAGACTGTCTTGAGCAGTCAGCTCGGGTAGGCCAGTCCAGGAGAGCTCCAGTCTGTCCAGAAGTAAGTAACCTAGTCAAGGAGCTTGTATTCGAGCTCAAGGTACTGGCCGACTCGAACAAGATGACCTGACAACATTGACCTCTAGGAGCCCGACAAGAAAGCTAACTTCAAGATATTGAGGTCATAAGACCTGAGATCAGGTTCAACCTCCGGAGGAGGTCAGGTTCGACCTCGGCTAAGTCGCAACAAGCAAGTCAGGAGGTCGTGGTTACGCCTGGAGACCTAAGGGCTGTAAGCCTGCACAGTTTTGATAACCCAGCCTCGCACTAAGTCTCTCGTTAATAAAATTCCAAAATTATGTGCCTAATTGATATCCNTGATTCCGTCTATACACCCCACACTTCACAAACTTTTGAAATTATCCCCTTTGCAGAAACTAAATTACAAGTAGTGGGAAGAATGTTTCTAATACACTTCCAAAGAAAAATTTTCTATTTATTTTTTATTCCCAGATACCACAATCTCATCCACGACTTTTTTTCCTCCCTTCTTCCAGAGCTACATTCAGGTTTATCCCTTCTCAAAACCCCAAGCAAGCTAATAACACTATAAGCAGAACAGAAAAATGACCTTTTTGAGTCAAAGTGCCATACAAAAGAATCAGGTTTACCAAGGTTATCCAAAGGAATTTTAAGAATATTTCAGCAGCATCTTCTATTTGAAAGATCTCTTCAATAAGCCCTCTATTCCAACCTCCTCTAGCCTCCATGATTTGGCACACCTTTTCCAAGCCAAAATGATCCTGATAGACTCATTGCAGTTTAAAATCAAAGTTCGCAGGTATCCATGGAGAAGACCAAATGTTTGTTGTTTTACAATCTCCAAATTTTAACCTTAGTCCCATCTGTAAGAACTTTCCAGTCTTAACCCAACATTTCCCCAACCAAGACTGATTGTTTTTTACTTGCGAATTTCCCCAATCACCATTAAATTTGTACCTTGTCCTCATAACTCTACTCAGTAGAAGATTAGGATGATTTTGAATTCTCCATAGCTGCTTAACCAAAAGAGCCTCATTAAACATTATTAAAATCATGAAAACTCAAATTAACCTCCTTGATGCTTTGGTACAGTCAGATTCTTCCATTTCAGTCAGTGAGTCTCTCTTATCATCAAGGGTTGTTCCCCACCAAAAAGAAGCAGCCAAGGCCTCAAGCTTCTTGATTAACCCTGCAGGAAGTCAAAAGCAAGACATTACATAAATAGATAATGGGTTAACAATAGATGATGATTAGAAGAGGATCTATAATAAATGTGTTCAACTTGACTAGTTGGAAATTTAGCCATCACCTAATTTATCATTAAAATCACCACCAATAACTACCCCACATAGGTTAGGTTTCTAACTCCTTAAATAGTCCCATTGTTGGAGTCTCACTGCATTATGCACCACTAGCATAAACAAAAACCACCAAAACCTTCCTACTGAGTTACCCCAATCACATTGAATCTGAATGCAAAATTGATTAATCACCACTTGAACTACAGAAAGCCAAGAAGCCCAGCACAAAAATAATCCACCACTTAATAAACAATCCACCTATCCTGCACCTTTAACCCTCCACACACACAGTAGCCACAAAACTTTTTTCCTTGTTAGTTTCACTTAATATAGGAGTAAAGAAAATCAAATAAAACCATATCATTTCAGGAAAGCAAAATAAAATAAAATCTATCATTATATAAAAAGATTAACCATTTAACAATTTTAGCAGTTATTTCCCGCCAAATACATTTAATGCCTACTAAATATAGATTTTCGGACATTATTAATCTGTTGGCCTTCAAACTCGGACCTAACAATTTGATCCCGTATGATTTTGAATAGCTACCCTAAAAGATATTTATTTTACAAATATAAAGATAAAGATTATTTTACAAATAAAAATTCTAAAGAAGTATTTGATTCACCAGACTCTTTAATTGCTATGTTGGCCTTCAAACTCGGACCTAACAATTTGATCCCGTATGATTTTGAATAGCACTCCTAACAGATATCTATTTTACAACAATAAAGATAATGATTATTATACAAATAAAAATTCTTAACAAGATTAACTGAATTCTTATGATTGCTATCTTATTTTAAAATAATTTAGGTTATAGTTTTAGTTTTATTTTTTTATTTTTAACAGCCGCATTGTGTAGATGCTGTTTTTCATTTCATCGAGTAGAACTTGGTTCGAAATTTTTAATATTATATTTGAATATTACTTATTTGTATAGATTTTTTAGTTTATTTCAATTATTAGCTATCACAATACATATTACTCATTCATACATTACAACATACATTGAATACCAATTTTTCGAACATTTAATCTATACTTATATAAAGAGCCATCTCATTTATTAGAATTAGTAGAAAGAAAAGTCAAAAGTAATTAATGCATTCTATTTCTATCAATTAATTTTTATTTAATTGTTTTTCCCCATAAAATCGGTACAAAAAATAAATGTACGTAAAACAAAAAAAGGCATATTTGATTGGAAGATAAAATCTTGATTTTACACAAAATAAATCAGATGTCAAACCTAAATTGAAGGGTTTAGTTATCTATATAGATATTGATTTACGTAAATCAATACATCTAATATTTATAGTTTGTGTAGATTTAAAATTCCTTTTTATCTTTGTACAAAAAATCCTATCTAATTGTATGGAAAATCTGATCTACGTGATTTCCGTATATCAAGAATTTTTCTTGAAAAATCTTAACAGATATTGATTCTACTCTACCAATTATAAATTATAAATCTCAAAATATTGAGTCATCGTCTTCCTCACTTTCAACCTCCTACGAAAAAATATCCCCAATCAGTATTTCATTCAAAATAATGAATCAATGATTTAGCTTAATCAAACAAGTTAATAGGTATTTCATCCCAAATAAATATATCCCGTGCCTCGCACGAGTCACGCACTATATATATCCCGTACATTATTATATATATCCCGTACATTTTTCTTTATTCATGTATATAATTATAAGTTAGGATAAATAGTTTTAAAATTGTGCCCCACGTGCATCGCACGGGCTCTGCACTAGTATATTGAATAAGATTTATGTAAAGTAGTACTCAACAAACTTCTATCCCAAATTTTTTTAGTTTATTAATTAATGGTCGGTCAACTTTTAATTTTTTTTTTATATCGTTTTAATTTCAGACTTTTGTGAGCTTTTTTTATATCGTTTTAATTTCAGACTTATGTGAGCTATATGCTCATATTAGCTTTATGGAAGTTAAGCTGAGGGAGAGAGACGATCATCGCCCACTCTCTATCCAGCACGTCATGGATGCCGTGCCGGAATGCAAAAACAAGAAAACTATGCGTACCGTCATCGGCCCGCAGCTCAACGGTAAGATAATGGAGGTTTTGATGGATGAGGGTGTTGCTTTCGAAGAGGATTACCAAACTAAAGGCAGGTGGAATCCTCGTAACCAAGAGAAGTTTCTGCTGAGGCGACGACGCGAGAATTTGAGCGTTGTGAAGAAGTTGTTCGGTTATAACATAGACAGACAACCTTCGGCATCGGGCGAGGCATTCAATTTCGCTGAGTCGCTCAGACATGAGCTGCAGAGAACGCTGTTGGTTGCGTAATTCAGGTCAGAACGAGTCTGTACCATTTGCCATCTGGAGCAGTAAGTCTGGGTTCATATGATTTCATGCCCAGTAGACGTGGTGGTGGGCGAGGACGTGGACGTGGATGTGGTGGTGGGCGAGGCTATGGAACACACGAAGGGATGGAATACTTTGAAATTATGAGCTCATGGGGAGGCGGTTGGTCGGACAATGGTTTTGGGAGGATTGTAGCAGATGACATTCTTGAAGCATATGACTATGAGGTGGCAGTCGAGACCGAGTTCGAGGTCGATGTCGCGCTTGAGGACGGTGTCGAGGTCGCGCTCGACAGTGAGGTCCAGGTCGAGGTCGAGTAGTAAGCCCTCAGTTTTCTCTATCTTTTTTTTTTTACCTTAATCAACTTTTACAACATGTTAATATTATTCTTAAAAGAATTTGTTTGTGATTGTCTGCAGGGTTGTGGTGTCTTGTATTGGGCCGGTGCAGTGTAGTAAGTACTCATTCTTTTCTCAATCTTCTTTCATCTTTTTTACCTTAATCAAGTTTAATATAAACTTTTCCTAACATGTTAATATTATTACTCTTAGAAGAACTTATATTGTGTGCAGGGTTGTGGTATGTTTTCTGCCCTGATGGTATTCTTCATCCAATGAAAGGGTGTTTTAGAAAAAAGAAATCGAGCTCTCCTTTGATTATTTTTGTGTTGAAAATTTGGTTGATGGTTTGAAATTTCTACATTTAAATTTATCATTATTGTTTAAGTTGAAGTGTTTTGCACTCTATAAGTATTAAGATGTTGGCCAGTTTCTTTGGGATTATGAAACGTATGTTTGATTATCTTTTTTGTTGATTTTTTTTTTGGGGGGTCCCGATCGATTCGTTCTGAGACCGAATGAATGCAAATTAAATCGAGACGGTCCATCCTAAACCGTTTTCGCATTTGTCCATAAATGTTAGATAAATATTGAGACATGCTAACACCCGAAACGTAGCAGAAAGCTTCAATTCAGTCCAAAATCAGAGTAACCAGCCTTCTGAAGGCCCTTTTAATCCAGGTGAGTAGTTGTTTATCCATACCACGACGCAGTCTGACTTTCTGTCTGGTATTGATTGGTATTATGTAAATCAAAATTCTAGCTTATATATGGGTCGTCCAAATAACATTGCTCTTCTCCAATCTAAATCAAGTTCTACCTAACATTTTCTAGATGATAACAAATTAAAGCACAACTTGTCAACTTGAATATAAATATCCTAGTTGGAACACTCATCAACCAGTAGTATGACGTATAAACCATATCATACGTATATTCAAAATTTCACACATATTACACAGACATCAAAATATATGTTTCGACTGATTTTTTTTCAACTAAAAAGTAAAGAAGAGTTGTATATTTACAAAGGGTAAATTACTTTTTCCCATTCGAACTATCGCGATTTTTGCATCTTATCATATCAACTATTTATTTTTGACAAACTACCACACAAAGTCCACGTTTTTTTCATCTTACCCCGTAAACCGGATATAAAGTAGTTTTGACTAAAAAAAAGTTAATTTTCAAGGGTATTTTAGGAAATTCGTATATTTTTTAAGGAAAAAAAAGGAAGAAAATGAAACGTACGAAAAAGCACCGCCTCCCTCTCCCATCTGCGCTTCATCGCCTTCACTGCTGACGTCTCCGGGCCCGGCTGTCGCTGCCGTTTTCTTGGTCCGCTATCAAAATATTGTTTGCTTCTGTCCTAACTATCACTGTTATCACCTTCGGCTTTCAAAAATCTAAAAATGAGACATCGCATAGGAAGGATCCGGATAACACTCACTTGATAGAAGAATAGCATAATCTCTTTGTTTGCTTTGGAATGGGCCATTATTATATCAAATCATTCTTCCTGGGCACTTCTGTGCAATACTGCTTGTATGAGATGTGTGAAACTTAAATATAAATGTTTCTTTCAAAGGGCCGTGACAATCAAGATGTGCTGAAATTTTGCACTGAAATCTTCACTGCCGGTGTCTCTGGGCCCGGCTGTCTCCAACACCGTCATCAAGGCCCTACGGCCTACCCGGGCCCTCCTCATCGACATCTCGTGCGACAAAAGTGACTCCGTCAGACTGGACAATTTGCCTTCTCCATGATCTATTTCGAAAGGCTCACTCGAATATTGTTCTCTGCTGGTTATTTAATAAATCCTTAATGCCTCGACTAAAAATGTCAATCTAGGATTAAATGCATATCCAGAACACTAGATTATCCTACAGTTCAGTTTCGTTTTTTTTTTTTTTGCATTTAATAATTTCTCTTGACAAAGGCAACTCACTCGTCGGAATATTTTCCCAAAAAAGTCCTTGATCCTTCAAAAATGAACAAATCATTCGCCGTCGTTTTCCTGCTCTTGTTCGTGCGCCAATATACTGGCGGTGCACAGTCCCTTGGCGCGCCTTCCCCAACGTCATCCACGATACCGACCACCCACTCTCCGACGCCGGCACATTTTCCGTCCAGCAAGCATCCCTGTCACAGCCTCCGTCGCGCTCTCACTCTCCAACCATTTCTCTGGGAGCGCCAACGTACTCTCTAGAGACCAGCCCGTCTCCTTCTCCGGTACAGGCTCCGACTGTATCTTATGCAACACCTAATCGACCCTCAAGTGTGCCTTCTCCGAGTCCATCTTAGGTGACGACCCCTCCTCCTACCCCGACGAGTTTCCGATTGTGTCGCCTAATCGATCCTCAAGTGTTCCTTTGAGTTCTGCAACACTGTCAGGGTCGTTGGATGAGTTCCCGGAAACCTGCTGTGTCAGATATGGGAGGGTGCGCGATTATGCATGGTTTCCCAAATCCAAGTCCACTCATTCATTTTCTATTTTTTTAAAACAGTGAATTTTTTTTTTAGCCAAGTAGAAATGTAAAACATAAATTTTAGCCATGTTGTGGGAAAAACATCATTTTTAGCCATTTTGGCACCTAAAAATACCAAAATACCCTTACTATCTATTTTTCTTAAAAAAAATCAGAAATCGTCAATTTCTGGGGTCCAGAAATTATTTCTGGGCTCCAGAAACGATTTCTGGGCCCCAGAAATGATTTCTGGACCCCAGAAATCCCAAAAATCGGAAAAACGATTTCTGGGACCGAAAATTGATTTCTGGACCCCAGAAATCATTTCTGGTCCCAGGTCGCAGAAATCGTTTCTGGACCATTTCTGGAGCCCAGAAATCGTTTATGGACCCCAGAAATCCTCCTAAAAACGATTTCTGGGACCGAAAATCGATTTCTGGTCCAGAAATCCATATTTCTGGAACCAGAAATGAGAAATCATTTCTGGTCCCAGAAATCATTTCTGGTTCCAGAAATATGGATTTCTGGTCACAGAAATCGTTTCTGGACCCCAGAAATCGTTTTTGGTCCCAGAAATGCCAGAAATCACAGAAATGGTTTTTGGACCAAGAAACGATTTCTGGTCCCCAGAAATCTCAGAAATCCCAAAAACGATTTTTGAATCATTTGTTTAATCGCAAAACGATTTTTGGAAATCCCAAAAATGATTTGTGGACCCCAGAAATGCAAGAAATCGAAAAATGATTTATGTATCGACTCCAGAAATCCCAAAAATGATTTTTGGAATCATTTTTAGATCTCATAATGATTTCTGGTTCAAGAAATCGATCCCAAAAATCGATTCTGGTTCAAATTTTATTTTTTTATTATATAAGACATTGAATCATATATAAGACATTTTTTTTGACATTGTTTATCACTAAAATACTTTTGTATCTTTTTTTATAGATGTGTGAAAAAGTTCAAATTGTGTATAGTGGATTTTGGGATGAGAATCTCTATGAAAATGGACAGCCATAGATCAACTTTATGCGTTTGGGGAGTTTGTCGTATGAAGACTTTTTAAATAGAGTTAATGACATTGCTGGTGGAGACAAACACACATGTTAATATCAATTTCACTTCTTGATGGCGAATGAATAACAATGCCGTGTAAATAACAATGCACATTGCAGACGAAGGTTGTCAAATCTCTTTGAACAACAACAAAACACCTTAAATTACTACATGCACTCAAGGTAAAATAACAGAAAGATGCATACAGAAACATACAGAAACACAGAGAAGATGCATGCTTTCCAAATACACAGTTCAAATTCTAAATTACTAAATTACCATTTTGTTGGTAATATTTTTGGGCAAGTAATAACCGAGTTACCCGACTCGGGTCGTTCTCTAAGGAAGGTTAGCCGGATTAAATTGTATGTTTATTCAATTCACAAAAGAGAAAATATTCCTAAACATTCTAATTCAATTTAATAATGGGGTTTTAAACTAAATTAAAAGTAACATAAATGCAATCATTTTACTCGGAAAACCTTTCAAATGATAAAATCGTTTTACTAGTAAATACTTTCTAACGATAAAATCGTTTTACTCGTAAATACTTTCAAACTAAAATTTGTTCTACTAGTAAAAACTTTCAAACAAATAAATTGTTCTACTAGTTAAATACTTTCAAACTATAAGTTGTTCTACTAGTAAAAACTTTCAAACAAATAAATTGTTCTACTAGTTAAATACTTTCAAACTATAAAGTTTTAAGGAAGAAAAGAGAATAACTAAAATGACAAAGATAAGTTTTAATAAATGTAAAAGTCTAGGGTATTGGGGATAATCAATTCCGGTTTTATTAACATTTATCGGTAATTAAATTACTCAGTTAAACGATTCACTTAATTTACTCATCTAGAGGTTTATCCGTACTAACTCTCGTAATATACGAATAAACTTAAATAAATGAATTAGTGGAACGGTTAACACATAAACAATACGTTTCCGAACATGTCTATTCTAAACAAATCAAGTTCTATCAACTTCGCCCCTTTCGGTTATGAAATCGATTATGTAGATTAAAATGGTGATCAAACATTTAACCATAATATTAATAAAATTTGTAAAGATTGAGCAATAAAAATACTTATAAACGATAATAAACCGAAACGATTATCCCCTAACCCTAGTTAGGAAATTAGTTACTCATAGTAATTTTAACATACAAATTCTTATGTAAATAAACCATTATAAACATAAAATAAAAAGAAAACTTACTAGTAATCCACAAGCTAGAGCAAGTGCAAACTTAATATCCAAACTTCAACAATCTTCAACAATGTAATCTTACAAATTCAAACTTACAAATGTAGTAAAAATAGAAATGTGGAAAGATAAAATGATATGGAAAAATTCATGCTATTTTGTTTGATGATAATGTTGCTATTTATAGATATAAATAGCATACTAACATCAACTACATCAACCAAAGTTCAACAATAATTCAACCACCAAGAAAAATGCAAGAAAAGGTGAAAGAAGATAGGAAAAATGAGAGAAAGGTTGGAATTTTCGGACAAAATCCGAGAGTGCTTTTTCCGCGCGCATTCGCGCACGTCTCGGGCGGCTTTGCTTCTCGGGCTCGTTTTGGGCTCGTCCGAACTCGGAATTGAGTTCCGTTTTTTTCTATGCATTGCTAACGAACCCCTCTATTCAATGATGTATGCCAATACAAATTTCACCCAGAATACAATTATCTAAGGATTTTTAACTTCCAAGGTGTCGGCAACTCGCTCGATTTTACTCTTCGGTTCCGTACGAATTCATCCGAACTCGAAATCGAGTTCCGCTTTTTCCTGTGTGTAGCTAACAAGCTCCTCTTTCCATTAATGTGATCATGCTCAATAACTTTCCAAAATCCTGCTCTTCCGAGATTTTCGACCGTTCCTTTATTTTACAAATACTCGAAAAATACAAGAAAAATATACAAAATTCCACACAAATACTTAAATATTACAATTTACTAAATAAAACTAAAAACTACCCAAAATCCCACAAACTTACTAAAAATACATAAAAATAATAATAAAAAACATTAATAAAAACATAACAAAAATAACACTAACACATTTTCAGCAGCAACTCTATGTACAGAAATCGAACACCCAAGAAGAAAACAAATCTTCAAAACTGCTAGCAAATCACAAGAGACGTCGAGGTAGTATGACAAAAATATTTTAACTCAATTCTTTCAAATATATATTACAGACGCCATTCAACACATGCTTTCAGAAAATACAAAAGTAACTATCAAAGTATAAATAGCTAAAAGAAAATTTTCATAAGCACATGACCAACTAATAACTTCACATCCTTATTCTCCAATATCACCATAACCGCTAATAGAATAGCTCAAAGAGGTATCTAAATCATAAACTAATGTACATAAAGCTTTTCAGGCTTCCAAAGCTCAAGTACTCAATAAACCCAATAGCTCAAAGAGGTATCTAAACTCATAAACTTAGTGTCCATAAATTTTTCCAGGCTTCCAAAGCTCAAGTACTCAATAAAACAACGTCTATCGCCCTTTTCAACAGGATATCGTACTAAATTTGTCAAATTATTTGTAAGCATAGGCGACGTGCAATTTTTGTAAGCATCATCTGCTCAACACGATTCTGTTTCTGACTTTCAATATAGTCAGTGTCTTTGTCCTGCAGTAAACAGAATCAAGTTAATCAAGTTCATAATAAGAAAACAAAGATTTAGAATGAAGATTTTAATATATTCAAAAGGAGGTATTTTTCGCCGTCTGAGTCTCTCCCTACCTCTTGGTATATTTGATTCAGGAGGTGGTTGAGAAGCCCGGTGTCCCTTCTTTTTTTCCTAGCTTCTGCCCTCAGTTGAGGCCTCATGATTGGTTTTCTAGTTGTTTCTCCTTTTGCCTTCATTAGACTGAGAAGATTTTTCTGAGCCAGCCTGTACTTTAAAATTTCAACAATTTATAATTCACTACAAGCAAGATAAAATATACTAAAACAAGAATATAAAAACTTGAAAAATGACATTGTGTATTTGCAATTATGTACCCTTAGATGTTTAAATTTCTATTATTTTTTCTTCACTTGTTGCATAAAAAAATGTTCTATTCTTCTTCAATTTTGCTTGCTTGTTCTTTCGTTACGTTCATTTGAATGACTAAAAAAAAAAATAAAAAGGTACAGGGGCGTCACCCAAAGAACCGAGTCCAAAATGAAGAAGTTCTTTTGATAACATATAGTTAAGAGACAATAGCATGATTCAGATTCTATTAGAAACAATATTAACATGTAAAATGATAAATAATTATCAACACACTCCTCACCATTCCACGTCCACTATTCACAACCAACAAGTCACTTGTGCTAACTTACAAAGGCTCGGACTTGCTAATTATGCTTTGAAAGAGTAAACACACAACATTCATATCCAAATGATAAAATAGCAAATTCATAAAACTGATGATCAAATAATCAATCAAACTGAGAACTTACCTGTCCAATGAGCTATGTTGACGGAACTTTGATTGTGGCACTCCTTTAGATCCACCTCTTTGTCAACTCTAAGATCCTACCTGAAAAATTTAAAAATTATCCTGGAGAAAAAAAACACTCATGAAGCATGAAATCGGTCGATTGCAAGACGTCATCCAGAATGCATTGAACTTGGAAGGGGGTATCAAAAAAAAATTATCCTGACACAAATTGAAATACAAGAATCCCAAGTTATGTCTAAGAACTGCTACTGATAAGCAGTTGAGCATTCTTTTTCACACAAACGATGCAATGCCTAGACATTATTGACATTTAGCCACAAAAAGTACAACACGAGTCATTTATAAGTGAACTAACTGCTCAGATCAAAGGTGTAACTTTGTTTGTCCAAACCAGTGTCATATGTGTTGTATAATTATTTTGAGTCGCCCTTCTCCAGTTACCAATGTTTGGCATTTTAATCTTTTATTTATCAGTTTCAATACCGAATGAAGTAAGCAAGACCCAGCTCCAAATTCTAGGTTCTACTCTCTATCTACAACAATCATAATAGTACGATACAATATATGAACCTGAATCCAGTCCATTTAACAAGAGCACTAATGATATGAACCTCAGATAACAGGAATGAATAAGCACATAACTATGAGATAAAATGAACCAAACAACTATGCTCTCTATCCCAATTTATATCTTTAAGAAATTATCACCATTTTGTCCAATCAACTTGTTAGGTAAAATGATAAGATTATGAACTACAAGTGAAAGCCACTCCAACTACAAAACTATATTCAGTATCATCACCATTCCATTGAAACTTAGATGTTTACTCAGTCGATGATCTACTCTGCTCCATCCATCCGCCGTCAATCTACTCCTCATACCTGCTCCCGCCTCTATCTCCAATTGCGTGCGCGAGAACTCTGGAAACCTCGGCACCCCATTCGAATGAGATTGGAGTTGAAGTCGAGAAAAATAAAATAAAAAAATCAGTAAGAAAACCATAATCAATTTGGCCCTAATCAAAAACCTAAATCGTTACCTCACCATTTCAACCAAAAACATCATTCTATTACTGAAGAAAAAAGAAGATGAAAAACCCTAATCAAGCCCTAAACAACTAAACAGACGCACCTTGAGAAGCAATGAGAGGTTGAGGAAGCCGGCGGAGCAGTGCAGGTGTGTCAGGTGCAGAGAGGAGCAACGATAGGAGCAACGCGGGTGAGTGAGTTGTGGGAGAGGAGAGGAGCAGCGGTCGCCGGAGAGGAGAGAAAAATTGCACCGGAGAGAGTGTGAAAAAATGAAAATGAAAATTGGATTTTAAGAGGAAAGAATGACTTAGACTGAGGATATAGTAGAGAGTACTTAGACAGACCACAGCAATATGAAAAAGGAAAATCCTTGAGTATGTGAGATCCATCCAATCATAAGGAATTATCTGTGTTTGTAATCCATTCATTCATCATTTCAACTGGATTATCCAAAGATTGAACTACAGCGAGATAAGGAAGGAATTTGACACCATTTTGAATCCAAATAACTTTTAATTCCAAGCACAAACTCCATTGGGGTTAAACACTTTAGCTGATTCAAACTTCACATCATAAATGGATCTACAACTACAAAATCAATACAGACCAAATACGCCTTCAATTTTCAGAACAAATTACCGTAGTGTATGCCGGGATCTTATACAATGGCGATCTTGGCGCCAGCCGCCTCGAGCTGCTTCTTGGCCTCCTCGGCCTCGTCCTTCGACACCGCTTCCTTGAACTTCTTCGGCAGCCCTTCGATCAATTCCTTTGCCTCCTTCAACGCCAGGCTGGTCAAAGCCCTAACTACCTTAATCGTCGGGATCCTGGCGTTGCTTGGCACATCCTCGATGACGACGTCGAACTCCGTCTTCTCCTCAACGGCCGCGGCCGCCTCTGCCGCGGCCGGAGCGGCGGCGGCGGCGGCAACCGGGGCGAAGGACGCGGCGGAGACGCCGAGCTTGTCCTGGAGGTACTCGACGAGCTTCTGCGCGTCGGCGAGAGTCAATCCCGCGATCTCGTCTCCGAGCTGGACGACCTTCTCGGGAGCGTCCACGGCGGCCAGCGTGCGGAGGGGGCGGCGGAAGCGTTTGGCGGCGGATGGTTTGAGGGGGAACTCAAGGTGCTGTCTGGGGAACGAGGCGGCGGATGGGAGCGCGGGGTACGCGGTGGAGGGCGGCGAGTGGGGCGAAGGGCGGAGGATAGCAGAGGACGGCGTCCAACAAGCCATACTGAATCTGAGAGAGAGGGAGGGAGAGAGGAGTAGAGAAGATGATAGGATAAGGGTGCGAGTGAAAGTGTGAAAATGTGAGATGGATCAAAATTTGGGTTGGGGGGCTGCTGTGACTAACTTACAGCAGTCCCAGCTGTTAATTTTGGGCCATTGGATCATATTAAAATTAAAATAGATCCAAGGGTTGTAAGCAAATGATGAATAAAATATTTTTATAATTGATAAAGTCATTACCCCACTACAAAGTCCAACCCTTATTAGGGGAACACGCTGAGCTGCTTCAAGAAGAAAAAAATAGTACAAACATGGCGGAGCAACATGATGAAGAAATTTGGTCAGAAAAAAATATCGAAATTGATTCAATGTGTTTGGACCCAATATTAGAAAATGATATTTTTCATGAAATTGATAGAAAGATGGAGCCTAAAAAGAAAAACCCTACAGAGTAAGTTTTTCAAATTTCATTTCTTTGTTTTTGTTTTTTCATTGTAATGTACTTGGATGGTTGAATAATTTGTTTTGCTTAGGTGATGGGTGAAAGAAATTTGATTCTAATTTATTATTTTTGTGTTTAGTGGCATAATTAATATATGTGTTTGTATTGGGTATTTTTTTTATATTTTATTTTTTGCTAAAATTCTATGTTCATATGTTTATATGTAGGAGAAACTTAAGTTCTGCTGATTGTGAGGAAGATGTCGTTTTTGAGAATTCTACAAATGTTGACAAGGAAATTGTAGATGATGCAATGCATGGTAACTCTATAAGTAGTGACCGGATATCAAACGAAGAACCAAGAGTTGGAATGATTTTTAATACTCTTGATGAAGCATGGGATTGTTGGCAAAATTATGGGAAGCTGATGGGATTTGGGGTTAGAATAAATTATCGCAACAAAAGCCAAAAGGATGGGGTATATAATAACGCAGTTTTTGTTTGTCGAAAGGAGAGTAAAAGAGTTGAAGATAAAAGGAGGGTGAGAGTCATCCATCGATGGGAAGAAAGAACATCGTGCAAGGCTAAGTT